TTCGACTGTGTTGAACACGAGACACTATTGCTGAAGCTGGAACACTACGGCATTCGGGGTGTATCGCTGAATCTGTTAAAGTCATACCTTCAGGATAGGCAACTTAAAGTACAGGTAAACAAAGTAAACTCACAGGGTGCTAGCATGTCTATGGGCGTACCGCAGGGCTCAATACTAGGTCCATTCCTATTTTTAACATATATAAATGATTTGCCATATTTATTTCAAAATGAACCACATATTGTATTGTTTGCTGATGACACATCATTGGTTTTTAAAATAAATAGACGAACAAATAATTATGACGACGTAAATAATGCTCTGATGAAGGTTCAACATTGGTTTACAATAAATAACTTAGTGCTAAACGATAAGAAAACGAAATGTATTAGATTTGTTCTGCCAAATGTTGGAAGTAAGGAATGTGACATATTATTAAACAGTCGGAAATTAGAATTTGTAAAAGAGACTACATTTCTGGGAATTACTGTAGATGACAAATTGCAATGGGGTCCTCATATTACATCTCTAGCGGGACGATTAAGCTCTGCAGCTTATGCTGTCTGGAAGATCCGACAGTTAACCGACATAGACACGGCAAGACTAGTGTACTTCAGTTACTTCCATAGCATCATGTCGTATGGCATTTTGCTGTGGGGACACGCTGCGGACACTGAGTCTATCTTTATCTTACAAAAGCGCGCCGTCAGAGCTATCTACAACCTGGGTCGTCGCGAATCTCTCAGAGAAAAGTTTAAGGAGATCAACATTATGACCGTTCCATGTCAATTTATTTATGAAAACATTATGTATGTTAGGAAGAACCTACAGTTGTTTGGTAAAGTGTCTGACAGACACCACTATCAAACTAGACATAGGGATAGACTAAGTCAGCCACTATTTAGATTGACAAAAGTACAAAAGTCCTTTATGGGATTCTGTGTTAAATGCTATAATAAAATTCCGGAGGAAATACAACATTTAAATGAGTCAAAATTTAAATTATGTGTTAAAAAAACGTTATGCGGAAAAGCATACTACAAACTTAATGATTACATAGAGGATAAAAATGCTTGGAGGCATGCTGGTCCGGCTCCACAGGATAGCGAAAAACATTGATGTTCCAATGAGTTCCAATCATGTCAAATACAGCCATTTTGTTCAAATGTACACACTGTAAAACTTTATATAGGTAACTATTGTAAATGTGAGAGCCCTGTAACTACCTAAATTAAATTAGACTAGTAGAATGCATGTGTGTCAGCCTGGAGTTGTCATGCTCACTCAAAAGTCTCATTGGCAGTGGCACGGGCAGTGGATCGCTCGATTCCCTATAACATGGTCGAGTTGGGCGGTGCTGGTGTACGTGTCATGTTCGTGAACGGGCGCTGTCAAATGGGACTGGTCAGCTCCAGACTGTATTAAATTTGTTGTCCTCAAGGTTATTTTCTTTTTCCGTCTCCTTGACCAAATATTGGTATTACATTGTTCTCACATTATTGAACTCAACGGAAGAATGTAACCAAAAATTGTATTGTGAACATGATTGAAAAAGTAACCTATGGAGTTTCTTGCTCGTTCTTCTCCATAGGAATCTACACTTTGGAACGAGCAAATAGCTTCACTAGAGGACTGACCTACAGACTGACATTTTTTTTTTTCTTATTATTTAATATTTAAATATTTTGTTTTGACGTTCAAAAGTGCCTTACTGGTCTAATTGAAATAAATGATTTTGACTTTGACTTTGACTTTGACATTTAAAAAGACAAGACTGAGATTTAATAAAAGTGTTATGATAGAGGAAGCCAAAATTTTCTAAAATACAAAACAAAAACTAAAATGTAGATAGGTTTACTTATTTTCTAGATGAACTTACCTCGGTACTAGGGTACAGCCTGTAATGCAGGTGTGTGGCACACGGAGGTCTGATCCCGCAGACAACGTCCTGTAGATGCAAGGGAATCCGGTCTGGGTAGGCGATGGTCACATCTAGAACCCATTCGATGCTCTCACCAACGTTGGACTCCACGATCAACTTAGCGTTACTCTGGTTAAAGTTATTATCTGTGAAAAGAAAATATATTTAATTTTTTGGGATACATTTTATTTTCAAGGCTGGTTATTGTGTTTGTGTGTGAGATAGGAGTACGTCTACTTAGCAATTAAGTTTTATGTATCAAGAAAAATCATATCTTGCAATATTTACGTGATCTCCTTCAGCAAAACTACTGCCTTCATAAAAACCTTTCACAAAAATAATAATAAGTACATTAATACTACGTTTAACATTTCACATGTAAGTATTTCAATCTAAACCAAAATCTAGTGAAATAACAAATTATATAACAAACATGCTGTATTTGTAGTTTGCGTCACAAAAATTATATTCCACCAACAAGCTTACAAAACAAGCAAAAAATATATAATAACAAAGATGATACAAAATATTTAGACGATAAAGTGACTTCTAATGAATACAGAAATAAATACATTGATGAGATTGAAAGCGCTAAGAGTCCCCCAATTATCTTCGAGCTAAGAGGGATTTATTTTAATAAGGTCTACAGAATTTATATTAAGAGCTCTGAAGAAGCAAAATTAGGAAATTATTGAAGAATGTTACGTAAAATGAGAAAATATTTTCTGAGAGTTTTTTTTTTGATGTTATTATCCTCGTTTGGGAAAGATAAATAGTTATTTATAGCAATAGTGAGTTTTATTACTTGACGATTTAAAGTCGTTTTTTGTTTTGAAATTATTTCTGTTTTTGATACGTATAATTTCAAGTTGATTTACTTAATTAGAATCATTCAGATCATTATCGTGGTCGTTTAAGTTTCCGAGAGTCTCATTTATAAGTTCTTTCTTACCTTTTTTAGAGTTTTCTTTCGAAGTGCTAGCTCCCTGGTCCCTGTGAGGTCCCACTTCTTCCATGATGACCTTCATAGCACCGGCACGAGGTAGTGAAACATATTCTAATTTCGGTAAATTATTCTTTTCTGCGAATCTGTGAAAACAACATTGCTTTGATTATTTGATTTTGATTTTTCCCAATCTGTACTAATATACCTTTAAGTAAGCTGAAGAGGTTTTTTGTGTGTTTGTTTATTTGTTTGAACGTGATAATCTCTGAAACAACTAGTTTGAATGGAATAATTATTTTTGTGTTAAATAGCGAGCAGCGGGTGATACCGCTACTAGTTAGTACTTAACTTTATATTTTCTTAAATGGAATTCTTTAATGAAACTACATGGAGCTCATAATAGGTCAGGTGAAACGTGTGTCTAACAAATAATCTATAAATTGCATTTATGCTTACACCTTTGGAGATTAAAAAGCGTAACGGTATTACATTTTCCTGTCAATAATATTTCTTATTTACACCTCAAACTATCACAGTAACTAATTAACAAGATTAATGAAATAACTTTTTATCCTCTTACCTCTGGCTGACTTCCCTCCTCTTGTGCAGAAATCCTCCCTCTGGGAATAGTACTATGAACTGCCTTGCAAGAGGTATGTACCATTTATGGATGTGCTGCCTTAAGTCCTCGAGTGACTGCTCTCTTTTCGATTTGCCCTGTGAACAAAGATACGTGGTTTTATTAGGTTTGGTATGATAAAACTCAGAATTAACTCGTACATAATCAGCATCAGCTGAATTTTAGGGATTTATATCAATAAATCCCCGGTGACCGCTTGGGGATTGATCATGCAATAGATTATATGTATATACATTTTCGACATCGATTAAAGCATCAGAACAGTAAAAATATCTCATGACATAATTTTACGATTTACGAACAATTTCTCAAAAGTAACTTCGAATCAGATGAGTAAAAAACATAACCCTCAGTAGCAGTCGGCTAAAACTGCATCTACATTGATTCTCAAACCAAAAAATACCAAACTATTAATATTACACTACTCAGTCTAAAATATAATGTCACACATTGACCACCTACCCACGATTACGTATCATTTTTCTTGCAAAGGGTCGACACAGAATAATTCCCATCATCCACCGTGGATAATTATAGATATATCGTTTTCCGAATATTTTAATATAAATTCCTATTTTACTGGAGATTATACTACAAGACTCGAGGGCGGGTACAGTCGCCGACACAATGCGTTAACTATTAACGTGCATTTCATACGTCATTATCGAGATCCGTTCGAGAATTAGGGTTGTCGATGTTGAAGGAAAATGCTTGTGATTTATTAGGCTAATTATTTTAAAAAAAAAGTGGGTTTAAGGAATTACGTGGATAATGTAATATTGTTGGTTTATTGATAGAGTACGCTGCTATTTTATTTCTGTATTCATCTCTGATTGTTTGGTTTCTGTAACAGTTACGTTATGCCGCCACGAGACATGGCATTTCAAATTCGATTGCCAATTCAATTAACAAAGTTTGATGTTAAAATAATCTGCTAGTAAAAAATACAAAAAAAAAGAATATTGACATATCAATAACTACTACAGCAATGTTGTCTATTGGTAAGCGTCACTATACGGCTATACCTTTGTTTGGAAGTTGCAAGGGATTGTTTATTTTGTTTAGTAAAAACACACTAAACATTTGTATTTTTACTAAGAATAAAATAAACTTAAACAGTTTATTAAGAAACTAGAATAAAAACATTAGAAGCAACCCTACACATAGGGGTGCCTCTAATGGATATTGTCGATATTGGCCCGTCGATGAGTGGGCAACTTTTCGACCACCCCTGATTGGACACAAGGGTCAGCTAACGCGATGTTTTAATTAAAGCCGTTGTTGTGTTTGTACCAAACATGGCCGGCTCACGATTTCTGTTCAATAGAAATATTTATTTATTGTTTTTTGTATAGACATTTTGTTGTTGATTGTACGTCATGTTAATAGAGGAAACTTTTTTTGTTTGAATTACTATAATATAATTATACAATAGCATATTAGTTCGCCACCGTTGTTTATGGTATACCACCGAAGACAAATATCTTTGTAACACCGTTCAGAGAGCAATGATTGACTGATGAAAGAGCCAACACATGGTGCCATGACATTTTAATCCAACAGAACTATTCAAACATTTACAAACAAACTACAAACCTAACAAACAGAAACCCAAACTATTACTCAATCAAACTATTTCGAGAAGGACCAACAATGAAAGACAACCAAAAATAAATCTAGAATAATCTAAAATTAAATTCCAATTTAACTTGGACAAAGTTCGGGACACTGGCGAACGTGCTGAACTTCTTATTCCCAAGCCAACAATGTCAACAAACCTAGAAGATCTGGGACCTGAGACCTAGACGCAAGTTCTTTGAAGTCCAAGAACGCAAATCGTTCGATTCCCACGGGAGCAATGAACCGAACAACCGGGAACTATCCACGAGATCCGATCGGGGACCATCGGCAAGACTTTTGAAAACGCTAACGACCGTCCAATTGAGTGCGTGTTTCCAATGTAGGCGACCTAATATACTTTTATTACTGTCTTAGTTGTTCATGATAGACTTGCGATTATTTATTTAACTATTTATATTTGCAATAAACATGTCATGTATGTACACAAGTCTTATTATATTGCACTGCTCGGATTGTTTTATAAACAAGTGATAACTGATAATATTATTTTCCTTTGAAAGTGTCTTGGTGCGTCTAGCATTAAAAGCTGTGCGACAGTGACAGAATCAGCTACTGGCTACTACTAGCTACGCTCATTAATTTAATTTATTCGACATTGCAAAAAGCATTCCTGTATAGTTTAATAATAATTAGACATTTTACGAACTTCCATTTTGTGAAACAGTTACAAATCTACTCAAGCAAGCACCACATATTTATAATAAGACATATTGTGGAGTGATCAATAAAATATTTCAATCATTGTGTCGATAACAGTGGACAACAACAGAATCGTGATCTTTGCAGCAGTGGGAACGTGCGTCACTGAGCAACGCTATCCGATACTTAGCGTTTTTACAACAAATACTTCATTTGTATTGTTTCCTATTTAGTAAACGAAACCAATTTCCTTGTCACTACTAAATGCTGGAGAGAATCCTATAAGGACCTTGCTATAAATTGTTGAGATGTAATAAATAAAATTGGTTCTAAAGTTTGTGCAATTGAATTGAACTTTAATATTCCTTTTACACTCCATAGCAAACTAATTTACCACTTAGCACGTGTTCCCCATATAAACAACACCAGTAGAAGATAATTAAAACCCGGATATCATGCTAGTAGAGGCGAATGGAACACGGGTATAAGCACCTTTTGTGCAACTTCTAATTGAACATGGCAGATGATAAGCTGAAATATTGAACGCTCGGATGAACAGCTAGTTATTGTGGCAGCAAAAGTTTGGCTTTCGTTGAACATAAAGTGTAATTTTAACAATGTATAAGTTTGTGAGTTTTGGAAGTCTAATAGCAGTCGCTCGATGCGTCTATCGTCATTTTCATGAAGTCGTCCTCCCCAAAAATGGGACACATTTAACGTCATCATCTAAAGTAACAGTCCGTGACATTCCAGAGCTAGACCAAGAAGGTTTGCTCTATGCTCGAAGGTCTGCCGTAATCTCCACGCATCGCAGGCAGGTTTAAAGGTTCAGGTTTATCAGAGAGTGCTACTGTCTGGTCTTTGTCTAACGTGTAGTATCTTGAATAGGTCTTTCGAAACCCATTGGAAGAGTAGAACTGGTGCTAAATGTACTCTGTTAAGTACTAATCACACAGATCCAAATACAAAATCAATAAAAACACTATATCCAAAAGACTGACATATTAAAAACATCCCTACGTCGAAAACATAAGCTCCTACGATCCCTAAGACAATTATACCAAAAAAAAAATCATATTACACTCGCGACCAAAATTACTCGGCCACACTTAAAGATAATCCGTTTAGAATAAACCGGCACAAGTTGAGCTTGTTAATCGTCCAAACTATTACAAGTCTGGCACGAAGAAAGTATACACAAAACTGCGTCCAGGGAAATTCGTTAAAAGAAAAAAGTCTCGTTACAAACGTCCAAGGAGCAGTAACGAGGGTATCTAGTTGAAAACTTTCGCATCGTTACCGCTACTACGGGTGAGATAAGGGAAAAATCTTACTGTAACGTTTACAGTGAAAGCGCTGGTAAACGGTCGCGTTGTCAAATATAAACGTATTTGATTTGAAATTATGAATATTGGATGAATAAAAAATATATTTTAGTGTTAAGGGCCGCAATGTCATGAAAGTTTCAAGATGTTTCTTTAAGCGATTTCATATTTCTTTTCTAACCAACATAAGTATAAAAAATACACAATTGAAATTGAAGGTTAAGAAACCAATTAATATTTTTAAGTTAAGTACTAACAAATCATAAGAAGACAAAATTTTTATATGGCTATTGCTATTAATAAATAACTGTTAAAAGGCAAAAATATGATCAAATAAATTTATAAAAATAGCAATTTATTTGCTCTGTAACACTTTTTATTCTCTACAAATTCGAGGTCCTCGTTTCATTGGCCACCAGTGTACAGTAAAACTTGCTACGTGTGCCGTTCTCATAGAAAGCAAGCCTAATTACCTGCGGCCGACTTCCCTCCTTTTCTATTTTTGTTTTAATTGCAACATTTTTTTTCTTTTTCTGTAGATATGGGAGCGAGCTTCAGCCATGCGATATTTAGGTTAAGATAATCGTGTTTGTAGTTGTGAATTTCGTAGGTCTTTGAAATTGGGTTGCTTAAATGACATAATAATATGACACGGAGGCCCGATTAAAGACGTTCGCTGCTCATGCACGGGGATGCCGATTCGAAACCTACCAATGGCAAGTACCAATGTGACTCTTACCGAGTGATATGCACTATCTAAGATTATTTAGACACCACTGACAAACAAATTTTAAATTTTACAATTTCTAACTATAAGTTTGAAATCGCCAACCCCCATTTAGCAAGCGTGGAGATTAATTCTCAAATCTTCTCCGTGGGCGAAGAGAACTCTGGTCAGCAGTGGCAACTTGTAAGCTGCTGATGTGTGTGAAATGATAAATAAATATACCTAATATTACTCAAAAAAGGGGTTAAAAACATATTTTACGCAGTTTTTGTGAGTGGTATTAGCTAAAAGTTCATAGACACTCGCATCACTAGATACGTTACTAGTAACCTAATGATGATGATGATAATGATGACAATAAAGAAGTAGACGCTATAATGTCATAGTAAGTTCAAGTTCTCTGTTAAAAATAACTCTTAGATCACAATCGAAAGTCACATAAACGAAAATAAACAAAAGGTTAATGAATTCAAGTAGCAATTAAATAGTGCGTTAACCTACACGCATTATAGCTATGCAAATGAGGTTACGGTCATGGCCGATGCGTCTGTGGTCACACGATCACTTTTATGACAGAAAATTAAGTACCTAAATTCTTTTGATATTTTTGAGTGTATTGGTAGAAATGAATTTTATCGTGCACTTTGCGTATCATTTGCCTCGTTGGCCGAGTGGTCGCAAGTGCGACTGCCGGGCAAGGGTCTCGAAAGTACAACTGGGTTTTAAAAAATGTTCTCAGTAGTAG